TATCTCGTAGGGGTTAAAAGCTTTAAAAACAGGATGTTTTTCTTTGTTGAGAAGGGACAGTAAAGCACTAGAAGGTATAGAGTAGTATTCCAAGGAGGCAAATTAACTCCTTCTTTCTGGTGAGTAGAAACTAGGTGGTTAAAGGTTGCATGATATTCAGGAGGCAGCTTGGCACCTACCACGCTCTGCCTTTCTCCCCGCCAGAGCCCACGCAGACATTACTCACTGTTAACAGCACTCTGTCCCCTGAGCACAGGCCCAGCCTCAGAATGCTTTTTAACACAGCACTCACCCTCCACTAATGCATCATATTGGGCACATGAATTGAAATTTATTTGCTTTCTCTGGTAGAGTGAAAAAAATACAGTCTTTGGACTCAGACTTAACTTCGAGTACCGGCTTGGCCCATTCCTAGCTGTGTGGTCTTGGACAAGTAACTTATGTCCCTGAATCTCAGTTCCCCCATAAGTTAAAAAGAGGAAAAAAGAATGTTCATCTTGTAGTTTCATATAAGGTAAGGACAAGTAGAACATCTGGCATATAGTAGGCTCTTAATGATGATAGCTAGAATTATAGATTGTAATGTCATAGGAGTGAATATGATTGTCAGTGATAGCCTTGAGGTAGAAATAGAAAAATAGGAAAGACTCTAACATGGAACCTTGTAAGGCTTCATCCAGTAAGAACCCTAGCCTGTGTGGAATCCTATATTTTACAAGGAAGTTTCAGGCTATGGATGAAATAAATGAGACTTGCCAAATCACATGAGTTCACTGCATGATCCACTGACTGCACATAGAGTAAATGCTCATAAGACAGAGCAATCTCTGCTCCGTGGTGTTTGCAATTAGTCCCTGGATTAAGAGAGCAGCAGGAAAACAACAGGGTTGAGAAATATTCAGGGGCCAGAGCCTGGAAAGGGGAAGCAAAAGGAGAGGGGTCTGTGATCACGTCCTTCTCCCCTATCCCCTTCCTAAATTGTCATCTTCTTTCATTTCATCCTAACCACAGCTCTGCAAGGTGTGTTATTATGGTGATGGTGCTTATTTCATTCAATAGAACACTAAGATCAGAGAAGATAAATATCCTTTGTGGAAGGGTTGGAGTTAAGAGCTGAGTTAGACTCCAGAACCTGAGCTTTGTGCCAGGTGTTAGACATGGTCATCAAAGACTCTTTGATAAAAAGAGTCTTAGACATGGTCATCAAAGACTCTTTGATAAAAATAAATAAATAAATCCTTCCAGAGGAACACATATGGAATATTCTATGTTCCCTGATCATTTAGATCATTGAAATAATCTATGTGCAGCATTCCAGCCCCATTAAATAAGAAGCTCCACCTTTCCCTGTCAATTATGCTTAGTTCAACTAGAAAAGTATAAGGGACCAGGGAGTTATAAGCTAGTAAGCAGAGGTAATTTGTGGGTATTCATCAATTTGCTTTGATTTTTTCAATTTAAAGAATGAGGAGATTCAAATGCAGTCTTTATTAAATATCCTTCCAAGTGAGAAAAGTCATAAAATAACACTTTGTGAGATTTAAGAGTTAGAACAGCTATCATTGGCAGCGCAGAATCCAGTGTAAAGATAGTAAAATAAATATGGCTCCTTTACATACTATGCCCTACAGAATCAAGATAAATTCTCACAGAACAGAAATAAGATGAATAAGCATGCACGATGATAGTTTGTTCTTTAAATGGATTATTATGGGATGTGTGGTTCTGGCCTCTCTGGGGTGGTGGCCGTGGCTGTGGGCCTCACTGCTGCTAAGGTATGGGAGCTTTCGTGGAGGGGCTGGGGTTTTGGGAAGGTGTTTGAAAGAGAATGGAACTGGCAGATGCTCAGAAACCAGTGGTTTTTAAACCTGCACATAATGCATTTTTTTTTTTCCTATAGACATAAGAGAGAGGATTTTATATGAGAGAAAGATTTGTGGTTTGAATTAGAATAGCACTATTGTGACAAAGTTGGCTTTCAGTGTAAGTGATGTATTTGCTGAAAATTATATCAATGCCTTCAGTGGGAGCTCAGAGTGGGTTATAGCTTAGTTCTATGTTTTGAAAATAAGTATAAGCAGCAAGAGAACAGAAGTTCTTTAGAGTGATATTGACTTAAATGTCATTTTCCATTAGCCTAGGAGTTGTGATGACATATATTTGGTTCCTTGGATGAATGCTGAAGGTAGTTTGTTGGTATAGTAGTAGAGTTTTGGATGCTTCTAGAGTTTCATGAGAAAAAGGATATTTGGTCATATTTGGACTATAACCTTGAACTGCTTAAAAATGTGCTGGGAAATTTGGATCAAATTTTCTAAAATGGTATCTATTTCATTCTCATAAATTCACCTCTGAAAAGGTGATGCAAAATGTCACATTGGGTAGACCAGGGATTATTCATTTGGAAAATTTATGAGATGATATGGTCCAGACAATGAATAGGATTAAATATTCAATGGCACCCAGAGAAACATCAAAGAGAGTCAGACCATAGATCCCAGAATACCAAATAGATCGTAAAACCTATCTATTGCCTGCAAGCTCTAAAATGCATGGATCACATGACATGACAAATATTAAAAATGGCATGTAAGAGCATTTCTGCCTGAATTCTCGTGTCCTGGGAATTGGATTGGGAATGGACAAAGAGGTTATGCAAGGCCTTGCTGGAAATGCTTAAATAAAAAATGTGCCCAGAAATCTCAGTATATTTATAATAACCCTTTGCTTATTAGCAAATTAATGAAGTGGGGACAACCATATCAAGTTGTTAAGGATTCTTTAGAGAAAACAAGGCTAAATAGTAGCTACCTTGACTTGCAAAGACAGAAGCAAGAAATTGCTATGTTTGAACATTCGACTCATAAAGTCTAAAAAAAACAACTAAAAGAAACCAAAAATGAATTGGTAATGAATTCATTGAAGATACCAACACTTTTCTCAAAATGAGTTATAAATCACTCAAATTAGGGACATCAAGAGGCAAGTAAGTTATGGTATTCTGGGAATTTTGCTTCCTTTTCTACTTGTCTTCATTATTTTATTTGGTTGGTATATCTTACTATTTCTAATATTATTGGAGTTTTTTCTCAACTTTTTGTAACTTTTTAATGAAACTAATCCATCAGATTGTAATTCAGTTTGGAAAATAAGTGGACAGGAAAATATTTTGGAAACATTGTAATAGCGAGATTTTGGTGTGAGGGAGGAGAGAGAGTAGTAATAAACAAAGAAAATAAATTACATATTGCTGATCTCAAAATATCCTCTCATAGTTTACTACGTAACTTTTTATATTTAAAGTTTTGATTTTTTTTTTGTTTTCAAGATCAAATTAACAATGGAAATTTCTTTTAAACACTTCCATATGCATATCTACCTCATAATTAAATCTGTTTATGTTATGTTCCTCTACATAAATAAGATTTGTTCCTATTTCAACAACCTTGTAAAATGTCTATCAAGCCATAATTGGAAAGAAAATGCAGGCCAAATAATTGTTAGCAAAATAAAATCAGATGTATGTGAAATTGTTCAGATAATCCCAGGGAACTGGAAGCCAGTGCTTTGGCCACAGTGAACATCAGACTTAAATGGAACAATACTGGCCTCTAATATTTCCAAATGCTTTGCGCATCTCTAACTTTGCATGACTTCTGGATTAGGTGGACAACCACCATGTCCTATCCTAAATATAGTCATTCTCTGCAGCTTTGTGGTACTCAAGGAAAAAAAAACAAACCCGATAATTATGCCCAGAAACTTTAAGTTCTCAGGTTTTAAAAGGCCACATTTAGAAGTATTACATTGGATTTCATTTTCAAAGAGGCCATGTTCTAGGGTGATTCTCAGTCTGGAACAGCTGTTGTAGAGCTGCTGTAAATCCTGCCCCCCACCCCCACAGCTCTCCCTTTCAGTGGGAACTCAGAGAACAGTGAGCTGTTCCTAGATGGTTTGTTCTCATGAATTATTCTTTTCTACTTGCTCAACCTATAGTAGAAATAACTTCACAAAGAGGATGAGGATTTTACTCATGGGATAACCAGAAGTGGTTAAAAATAAGCTCATTCCTCTACTCTGTTGGCTGAATTAGGTTACTTTACTAGGCAGAGTGGACAAACACTCTGCATCTCCATTTAAAAACCTGCCTTGTCCTCCATTAGTTACTATGAATGTCATCTTAATCTACACTGCCTCATAAACTAGAAGCCCATGATCCCTGCTGTCTCCCTCTCCCTACATCCAATGACCCTTGTCCCATGGATCCTTAAAGCTGTCTCTCAAATTCATCCCTGTTCCTCTGTCCACACTGACAAAGTCTTAGTTTAAGTCAATCAACATTAACCTGGATTTGTGCACTATTCTATAGACTCTTCTGTTTCCTGTTCTCTTTACACTGTCCCTTGTGGGATCTGCGTTTAAAATCTCTGATGAAAAGTCATTAAGGACTGTCACTGCTTAGCCTCCCGTCTGCCTCTCCATCCTCTCTCCTGGCTCTACTATTTACCTCTTTGTACAAGCCTTAAAACATGGAAGAATTGAGGAGGCATTTAGGCTTCGGGGGTAGACCGGCATTCTAATTCTGACTTGGCCTCTTATTTATGGAGTAACTTTGGGCCAGTCATTTACTCTATATTTTGTACAATGTTTGGGTTGCTGGGGTTGAGATGGAGGGCCATAGTAAACAAAATAGATGAGGTCCCTGCTTCCTTGGAGTGTATGGTCTAGTGGAATCACTAAGTACTTAGTGGTAGCATGTTTTTAATAGGCAAATTGTGTCAGAGACTGTTAGTTGACTACCAAATATCCATTCTCCCCATCTCCTGGATGTAAACATGTTCTGCTTTTCCTGCAGTTCCCAAATTCCCTTACTGCTTGAGGTGGTCAGTGGGGTGCAATTGCAAGTCATTGAGTGGGGCTTCTGGGAAAACTAAAGTAGGGCTAACTAAGCAGGATAACATCAATCTGCCATTTTCTCCTTCCTTTTTTTTCCTGGCTAGAATGCAGATATGATGGTTGGAGTTCCAGCAGCTATCTTGGGGAGTGAGACAGCTTTGAGGATGGAAGCCTTTGCTAAGGAAGGTGGAACACAAAGATAGAAGACAACCAGATTACTGATGATTATGGGGCCTCCGTACCAGCCTTGGATTGCCTGTCTTGGGACTTCTATGGGAGAGAAAAATACAGTAAGCTTCTACCTCATTCAGGTTTTCTTCAGTTGAGTTTTCTGTTCTGTGTAGTTGAACCTAAGCCTAAATTAATACACTGTAACTATATACAATTACCACTTAAATACTAGATTTGGAAACTCATGACTTTCAGGGATAAGTATAATCTTGATAATCATCTCTTGTTCTATTATCATTTAAATAATCACAATGATGATGATAATGTCTAATAATAAGGCAATATTTATATAAATAAATCTTGCCTTGACATAATCTTTCTTAACTCAGTTTCAATCATCTCTAAATTGAGGACACAATTATAATAATGTATCTCATCCCTGCTTCAAATTGGTCTTAGTTTTCTTCATGTAAATCTGATTTTCATGTTTATTTCAATCCGTGAATATGGCCTAGGAATGCTAATTACTTAACATACATGCCACCACTTCCCAATCCTGTGTCCATGCCAGACATTAATAATTGATGATGGCATTTTCTCTGTCTCAGCCTCTTTCTCATTAACCTTTTCAATACAGTGTCAAGCAGCTCTTACCATTCGATCAGAATTGGCAGAACACATACATTTATTGTAAACCATTTTCAATAATTTTTAAAATCTTGGTTGGGGTTGCGAATGATACATTTTTTTCTTCAAATTGAAATATTTAGAAGTTTTCTTTGAGTAATATAAAACTAAATAAACTTCCAGTTTATTGAACAGATATTGATTTATGTCGTAGGTTATAAGGAAAGGCAAATGGGGGCACAAATTGCTTACAGGAACTCTGATATCAGTATAGATTTATAAGCTGTAGTGAGTAGACCGTATCTCTTGGGCACCTATTGTTCACAAAGCATTAAATGAAGATGAAGAGATATAGTGGGAAATATAATGGTCCGTTCTCCCCATGGATGTATAATCGAATAAAATATATAGAATAAATCCAAAACTTTAAATATATAGATATTAGTAATAACAGCTAATAGTTTACAAAAGATCTTCAGGGAAAAAAAAACTTAAATTCTAAATGCTGCCCCTGTCACAACCATTGAAAGAAGAATGGCTAACAAACACCTCATGGGACTTCTATGTGTCGGGCCCCATAGGTGATGACTTTTCTATAGGTAGCGGGGGCTACATGGCTCATCCAGATTTCTCCTTCCCCAGGACTGCCCTTTAGGCACACAAAGGTGGATTTGCAGTGTCATGTACCCTACATGACCATTGGGGCCTCTCCTCATCCCGACCATGCCTGGCCAACTCAGTAGATTGATCCTGTTCAAGCTGAGCCGATGAAATTCTCTCTGCCTGAAATTTACATTAGGAATGAAGAAGCCATGGACTGTAACTATTGAAACTGGGCCGTATGTCCACATGTTCCAGAAGGGGTACATCTGCTGCTGCCTGGATGTTGGAATTGTCCTGGTTCTTGCTGCCAGAGATTTACCAAACTTGAAACCATTAAGGACTATGGTGAGGTCTATATGTGATATGAACATCTTAATCTACTCTTTCTTTACTTCTTCCTTGCACACTGAACTACCCCAGTATTTTAATAAGTAGTCTAATTCTCTTTCTTCCTTTCTTTTTCTTTTTTCTTCCTTCCCTCGTTCTTCTTTCTCTCTCCCTCCCCGACCTTTCTTCTTCTTCTTTTTTTTTTTTTGGCTTGAGCAGGCCAGAATCAGCTTCTGTTATTTGCAATGAAAGAACTTTCACTAATACAGATATGCTATTTTCTTTAATTTTCACTACAATACTAGGGAGAGGTATTGTATCCCCAATTGTCAAATAAGGAAGTTATGGCTTAGCAAGCTTACAGGGTTTGACCCAAGGTTACACAGCTATTAAGTGGCAGAGCCAGGATGCAGACCTAGTTAGGCCTATGTGGTTCTAGAGCCATGGCTTCAAAAAAATGTTTGGTTCTACAGGTGGTGAAGTAGGATTCGCTCATGCCCTGTCCTCCAGAAGATCGACAAATTGATTTCAGACTGCCGTGATTCTAGACACAGCATTATGAAGCAGGGGAAAAGCAACTCCCTGAAATGTAGGCATGCCTCATCTGCCGTTTTTGGGCTCACTGTCATTGGCTCACTTACCTTCAAATACAGCAAACACTATGTGGAAGATAATAGCACATAGGGTTTGGTTTTGTTTGTTTTGTTTTGTTTTGCTGTATTTGATGTAGCGGGTAATATATTTTTGCTGTATTTGATAAAGCATTGAAGATGATAGCAACATCAATAATCTCTCCCATCAATAACCTCTTCCTGTAGTCTCCTCGACTATCTCCTAGCCACGTCCTTTTCTTTCTTAAAATGCAGCTTACAACCTACTTCCAGGAAGGTTTTCTTAATTGGTTTTATCCCATGTGTTCTTATTTTTAGCAGAGATTGGATGCTCATGGTCAAGTCTTGGTGCACTGCATCCTGATGTCTTCCTTTCTTTGGAAGGGGGTATAGCCACCTTTGCCCCTTCAGAATTTCTTTTTCTACCTGCTCTCTGGCCAGGAGGCTGTTTGGACCACGTAAAGGAGTTTCATTAGATCTTGGCCAATGAGAGAGGGGGAGCCGTAGATTAGAGAGAGGAAGGAGAAGGAGACTGGGGTATTTGTTCCCTGCTCCCTTTACATGGGGTCACCTTAGCCTGGCTGTTTCCCTGGACTAAAGGTCACTTCTTCTCTTACATTATGCTTCTCATCACGACTTCTCAATTTGGGTTCCAGTAACCGCTCCTTCCCTTTCTCTCCTTCAGCTCTAGGAAGGGTGGAAACTCCACTGTTCCTTGCCCTGGGGTTCTGTACTATTTTAATGGTTTCCCTATGCCCTGCCTATGCTACTATAAGTAGTCCCTCCTGGGATCATCCTCATGTGAGTGTACTTCCCTTTCCTGTTAGGCTCTTGAGTGATGCTAATTGTAAGTGCTTCTCCTAGCTAGTCCTTCTTCTTGTGCCCTCTTATCTTTCTTCATTTTCATTGGCATGCAAACCTGTCTTTCTGTGGTCATTACTGTCTAGGAGACTCAAGTCATTCAAAACCAACAATTAAACCTGTTATCCAATAGGCAGTCACTCTGTAGATGTATAGTATGTCAGGCAAAGTTGGAATCATAAATTCACATTCAGAGAGAAGACAAGGTTGGTGGTGAGTCTAACGTACAGAAATCATTCATTATACTCCCTTCCCACTCTTGTGCCTTTAATGGTATCACTGTGTGTATTTTCAGGTGACAAACACACCTGTCTGTAGAAAGGCCAGAAGGACTGTGGACGTTGATGCTTTTAGGACAACCACTTACTGGGTTTGCTCTGAAAATTATGTTCTATCTGAATTCCTCAGATGACTTAGACAAATATGCACAACCCTCAAATTTGAGGGTAAAATCAAACTTTCAGAGCTCTCTCTAAATTGTCACAAAAATTGTACCTAACATCCTCACAATTAAATTAGAACTGACTCGATCATTAGATGCTGACATAGCTTTTTTTTTCTTACAGTTTTTTTCTTACTTGCCAACCTATAGTAAAAAATTCAGAGACTCAAAAAGTCAGATGACATCATCCAATCATAATTTCCTGTGCACAAACTATCTTTGAATTTAATTGTATTGCCCACAGCGTAGATGATTTGGTTGTCCATGAATATTACATCCTGAGAAATGTTATTGATTATGTGACCTGCTTATGATGGTTTGACCATGATTTAGGAGACAGCTAGCTTTATGCAGACTTATTCAGATTTTGTAACTGAACAATTTAGTTTCTCTATTGGGGTGTGGAGTGGGGAAATTTATGGTATAGTAAGCTGATTGAAACACAGACACAAATGCCCTGAGTTTAGGGTAGAGAATTCATGCAGTAAATACACAATCAGTGAAGTCATCACTGCTATTTTGCTCACGAGGGATGGAAGATACATTTGATCATTCTATAGCAGACACCGCCTAGCCTGAGAACGTGTGCCCTCAGGAAGGAGTCAGACAGGACTTTATTTTTTCCTGGCTGAAGTTCTGGAGTATGTGGTGGAGTTTCCTCTTAATTTATTATGCAGCATCATCTTCTTTAGATGCTGCTTCTTCTGCCTACTCACCTATTCTTTGTATGGCGTTTTCTCAAAAGGCTGTTCCCAGTTTCCAAAATCATGTTTACACATGGATCAGTATTCACAAACAGCCATGCCTCATTCTCCTCAATATTGGGTCCCGCCTCCACAGTCCCTGCCAGGACAGTTGCTCTTAACAGTTAAAGAAAAAAGAAGTGGAGATTTTAGACAGTCTGCTGGCTCAGGATTGAGAAAAAGGAAAATGTGCATGATAGGTCAGGCTTCCATGAAGCAAACTCTGAGATGGAGATTGGGGTGCAGAATATTTATGGGGGAGTGAGGGAAGCAGGACTGGGCAGCCGCAACAGAAGCTTCAGACAACCCCACAGTGGGGCTCTGGAGCTGGACTGGCCTCGCAGAGCTGTCCCCAGCCAGGGCAAAGGGGCCAGGCTTTTATACTGTTGTATGCCAATGATTAACCAGGCTACCCCAGGGAATTGGGGTGTGGCCTTGTCTTAGGCAGCTGTCATTAGTTTAGATAGTCACTGGCACAGAGGCGGGGCGGGGGCTCAGCTGTGAGCTAGCAACACCCAAAACCCACTCTCCCAGCAGCTGCAGGAATAAGTGCTCCTGTCTTGAAAGGGTGATGAGCAGCAGTGACTGCTGGGAGCTGATCCCAGTTGTTCCCCTTGGTCAGAGTCTCCCCCTCTGCCGAATTGCTCTGTTACTTAGCTAGGAATGTGACAAAGAACTATGGGATTAAGAAATATTCTCTCTCTCTTTAAACTATGCAAAACTTTCTAAGATGGCCACTTTAAAGTACAGATCAGCTTTGTGTGTTCAAAATATAACTTAACTAACCACATATATTTTTGTAAAGAGAATGTTCTCAGGGACACCCCTATAAAAAGGCTGAGTGCACGGCTGTATGGTTGTGGATTGTATACCCAAAAAAACTGTAGTGTACACTTCACATGTCTTGTTACACTTGTTAGAGCTGAAAGAGAGCTGGACGATCACTTTAGCAAGTTCTTCAGTGGCCAGGTGATCCACAGAGTCCCAAAGAGGTCAGAGGACTCACTAAGATTGCACATCTGGGTAGTGGTGGAGCTGGAGCCAGCCCCCAGCCCTCCTGAGTCGCAGGCTAGTACTTTTCCATGACACAAATCTGCCTCCAATCTCTCCCCACTGCGGTTCTTCTTGCTGCAGCTTGGGGGGATTGTGTGTGTTGCTCGCTCCCAAAGAACCGTCAGGAGGGTTTCAGAGCGGCATAATGTTTGCCAAAGCTTTGAGTCTGTAAACTGGAAACAAGACGTTCTTCAGATATGAAGGAGTATTATTCAAAAACTGTTACCTTAGTCATTATATCGAAATCCCCCTTGAGTTACAGTAAAGAGGAAAGGAGCTCATTTTGTATTGGTAATAGAATTACTGAGCATGAACATCTATGTGCCGGCCTGTGTGTGTGTGTGTGTGCGCGTGTGTGCACGTGCGTGCGCATGCGTAGCTAGTCAGAGGGAGATTGGGAAAGAAGGGGAGAGAGAAAGAGAGCCTCTTTAAAAAGCAAATTACTGTACCATACATCTTATATTATTTCCTAGCCTCCTTATTTAATAAGTCTAAATTGAGAGTTCTTGTAATTCTCTTGCATCAGTGAACAAGCTCTCAGCATCCTCAAGTCCTTCAGGGCCTGCAGTTTTTCTGCTTTTCTGTAGATACTCATTTCCAAAATTTCATTACCATCCCACATATGAGTCATTTACTCCCATGCAATCCATTTAAAACATCCAGCACACTCTGGGGGACAGAAGGAAAAAGCTCAGAAAAGGCCAAGCCAATTCATTTGATATGTTGAGGACTTGCCAACCTGAGATGGGAGAGGAAGCCCAGCAGGGTTCCCTCAAGGTAGCCAGCAGAAAATGTGGCAACATCTGACCCCCACCTACTTCCCCACTCCGGAGCATGCCCTTTTATTTTGCTGTGTGTTTCATGTGTTAGCATCTGGGGCAATGCAGTTGGTGAGAGAACAGAGATGAGAAAAATTCCTTTAGCAGGATAATAAAAATGTAAGCTGAATATTGTAAAGAAACAATTACCCAGGTCACATATGTGCAGACATCTCTGATTGGGAATCAGAAGACTGGGACTGTAGTGCTGGCCTTGCCACTGGCTGGTCCTGTGAGCTGCGGGAAGTTATTTAACTTCTCCGGGATCTCAAGTATCCTCGGTTATTAGATGAGGATATGAAACTTGCTCTAGTTATTGCACAATGAATGTAAAAGTGCTTGGGAATGTAAACAGCTTTATAGAAATGTAACTTTATTGTATACATTAACTATGAATTATACACCTGATTTCAGTTGCATGTAGGCAAGCATGTAGTTTCTAAGGGGATCTTTGTGGCTCCTTGTGCCTTGGAAAGCACACAGCAGCATA